ACTTTTAACAGATCTGGATAACAAAATATCTGTTTGGTGCAGCTGTATAGTAACAAAAAATAATATTATTTACCCAATCCACACAAGACTGTTTTAGGATCTAGAACAAATCATAGGCGCCTATGACTTTGAACTATTTTTTTGGAATCCTTTTTTCGGGTGACTTTGATCACACTATGGAGGAGGTAGGACACACATATTAACACTAGTGTAAAGTACACATATACGTTTATCTAATTAGTCTCTCACCAAATGATGTGCGTTTTTAAATAACTGTACATAACCTTTTTTGTGTTACAACTATCCCATGGGAGAAAAGAACGGCTTATAAAGATATGTATTAAGGAAAATGTGACCATTGGTTCCGCTGTGCGAATTTTAAACCTGTTTAATTATCAAGACTTTTATAGAAAGCGAGCTTCTGCTTATATTATGGTATGATGTAATATTTATTATTGCACATGTTCAAAATGCATTGGTATAAATAAAGTATAACAACAAGACTATTATCCTTATGTATGAATGTGTGTGTTTATACAATTTATTGTATTCTCATATTTGCAATATATATATATATATATATATATATTTATATTCCAACATGTAAGACCAGACATATAAGTATACTCTCTAGGTACATAACATTCAAGTGTATGTGTGTATCATGTATATGAGTGAGTGTATAGTATATATATATATATAGATAGATAGATAGATAGATAGATAGATAGATAGATAGATAGATAGATAGATAGATAGAGATAAATAGATAGACGTGATTTGCAAGGTATGCATCTCCTCATCAATTTTGGATGTTACAAGGATGTTATAAGTGTGTGTGTGTGTGTGTGTGTGTGTGTTGTGTGTGTGTGTGTGTGTGTGTGTGTGTGTGTGTGTATTTGAGTATTTACACGCACATAGGCATGTTCTGAACCCACGCACACTGTTCAAGGTGCTTGGCCGAGATAACCACCACAAGCTGTGACCCTAGCAGTGTGAATAAAGGGATTTTAGTAGATTTTATCGCCAGAGCAAGTGGAATATAATCTGGTGCTATAATTCTGAGACTTATATTACCAGAAAAGAAGAAAGCAGAATGCAGTGCCTTTAATGTCTGATGGATTTGCTGAGAAGAGGGGTTATATTTTCCCCCATCTAAAGTCTTATTACACATTTGAGAATCAGGTATTGTTTACCATTACATTATAATCACTTATGGTGGGGTGTTGTGAGCAAGATATAGACAGCAAACAGCCATTTACATGGATCCTGAGAGGAGGGGTTTCAGATATCACAATCACACACGATTCAATGCAGAGAGCTCAGTTGGATACTGGGGATATTATTGTACAGTAAAAGGAAACACTACCAGTGCTCCATGGCTGCATTTCTTGGTAGATTAGAGTGTGCAGAGTATTTGAGTAAGGTGGGATAAACTGAGCCCAGGGCTTAGATGGCCTTTCACCACCATCCCTCCATGCCATTATTAGGCTAGCTATAGGACGACCAGCTTTACATGTATATATGGTGTACTTAAGAGGAGCACATAACAACATTTAAACATGGCGATGGGGTAGACTGCCCCAGATCCATTGTGGGGTCAAATTTCCCAATCTGCAGCTGTTTGCATCGCCTCGTTTGTGTTAAATCCATTCATATTTTATGATCGGCCCTTCCATTGGCCGAGAAACAAAGTTGCCCCCTTTTTGTTTGGTTTTACCGGAGCCTATACCGCCAGGAGACACGTCAATCCACCTCATAAGTGTTCCTCTTACCAAGACTCATTCATACCCTCTATATTTAATGTCTTATGTTCGTATTTATTTTCTGCAATTAGAGGGAAGCAGTTGTCCCAACGGGGGCTCTATTTAGGCTGATGAATTTTATATCTTTCTACTTTAATGACCCATGTTTATCATAATTCTAATTATTTTTAACTTTAAACAATATCCGGTCTCCTGGAGACAATGCTCGTAGGTTTTAATGGCTTTTACCATAAAGATAATAATGAACTGGTAGATTTCATAGGTTCCAACCGTAATTCTGTATAGTTGCTTGTTAACAGGAGAAAAACATATTATTAATGTAGCCCTCTACTATTCTAATATCTATCCATCCCTCTATTTATCGCTTTCTTTCTTTCTTTCTATCTATCTTCTATCTATCTATCTATCTATCTATCTACTATCTACCTAAATATCTATCTATCTATCTATCTATCTATCTATCTATCTATCTATCTACCTATCTATCTACCTATCTATATATATCTACCTATTATCTATCTATCTATTATCTATCTATCTGTCTATCTATCTATCTATCTATCTATCTATCTATCTATCTATCTATCTATCTATCTATCTATCTACCTATCTACTAAATATCTATCTATCTATCTATCTATCTATCTATCTATCTATCTATCTATCTACCTACCTATATATATATATCTACCTATTTATCTGTCTATCTAGTTATCTATCTGTCTGTCTATCTATCTATCTATCTATCTATCTATCTATCTATCTATCTATCTATGTACCTTATCTATTTATCTGACCATCACTCATCCATTTTCATATTAGAACATAGATGTCAAAAGAATTTACCATTTAATATAAATAAATACCAATATACATATATGCAAGCACTAAGCCTGTATTTTACTATCCCAGATGTATAAGTTAAATGAATATGCAACTCTTTCTTTTTCAGATCCTCATGTTTTATTATCATCCGTCACCTAGAAACGTCATCTAGAACCAATAAAAAAAGGGAATTAGTTTAAAGCAGATATTTTATCTCTTTTAATGCCCCTTTACACACACACGCATGCATGCATACATTGCATATAGTCAAGCAAAAAAAGGGGTGGAGAACCCAAGGTACATTTGTAGTGGGGTGGGTAGCATAAAATTGCTGTAAATCCTATAAATTGATATGTTAACACTGAAAATAAAATAAAAAAGAGAGGGGGAGAGAAATAGAGAGATAATATAAAAACAGGTTTTCTCATTTTATCATCAATAAATTAAAAAAGAAAAGATAGTGTCCACACTAAATTTTTATCCTAGGCTTATAAATATAATGTGAAATTTTCTTTACTTACCATAAACTCAAAACGATTTCTCTCAGACAGTTTTAAAAGTCTATGCAAGTAGCACAAATAGAGGCCATAAACCCTCAAATAGCCTTCTAAAAAGGAAACCAAATGGCGTCTGGAGTTAAGGGTTTTACTGTTTTCTATAGGTGAAGAGAACACGCCATATATAGTTTTAGGGTCTAGGCCAGCGGAAACTTGTCTGTGTTTTCACAAAAGAGGGATCGTGAACTACCCACCAAAACTGCAAGGTAAAAAGCTGCACAGAATTTCCATGTTTTACTGTAACAGGATTGAAATTCTTCCTATTTCTTTCAATGCAAATGTAGTACACTTGGCAGTAGGCAGGAGTCAGGGTTTTGGTAGAAAAAAAGATTTGGGCTAGAAAAGCACATTGCTCAACTTGGCGTTGATTGAGCTGAGTGTCCCTTGAGACAGATTGAGGGAAGTCTAGCACTAATTGTTTTTGAATGTTCTTTCTTTGCTACTAATTTCAGCCATGGCAAGGTAAGCAGCAAAATAGGTGTAAACAGCCCAAAGTTGGCTTTTTTTTTTTCTGGGACACATACCTAAGTTGTAAACATTTTACTCCGGCCTACGAAAAAAGGAATTGTACTATTTGGAAAGACTGTGAAAGAACAAAGGCATTCCTTAAACATCGTGCATTTTAGGACTTTATGGAGGGGATTGGAAAAGGAAATGCAAGTCGCACAATGGAAAAAAGAGCTGAAGAAATAGTAACTTTTATGCAGAAATTCACGTACTTTAGGACAAATTAAAATGAAAATACAATCATCTTTAATCTCATAAGCCTAATAAGTTATCATACTGTTGCATCTGTGACTTTGCATTACTCAAGCTAATGTAATACTTTTATAAAATCTATATCATGGATATAATAATATTACACATAAATAGATATGCTTTAAAAAAAAATGAAAAATAGAAAAATAAAAACATTTTTTTTAGATGTCAACATTTGCACAACTATTCTTGTATTTTTGTGTATTAAAATGTTAAACAATAGTCTAATTAATAAACATTTAGCCCTAATACGTGTGCATTGAGCAATGCATAATAATGGACATTGTGAGCTAATTAAACTGATGAAAAAATGTACTTTAATCATGGAAATAGAGAAAGAATAGATGGAAGAAATAACTTTTCTTGTGTCTACTTTTTATGCTAATTTCATACAGAATATAATGAAGTCAGGGGAGGGTCCCTGTGACTTACATTAGCATGTGCACGTCTATTTTGACAAATAAAACGGTCTTGGAGTCAAATTTTCATTTGTTTTTTCGTTTTTTTAATTGCATACATGTAAAACAAAAACACAAGTGGAAATCGGAAGCTTAGTGAAGGTTTGGTTTAGGTACAGTTTAAGGCAAAATGGAAGTTATCGCCGGTACACCAGTGACTGGAGGGACGTTGTGCTGTGCTTTCTGTCCATTATTGGACAGGAAAATAAAGTCAAACTCTAGTCTGGTGTAAAGGTGAGATGCATTGAAGGCTTTTGTCTGCTATGTGATGAAACGTTTTTCTTGAATTTGAGCGTTACCTCTTGATCCTGTCCTCTTCTCCCTGGACTTGCCTTGGCTCATTGGTAAACAAACCCAAGCGTTCTCCTTTGTTCAACTTGAAGGTCCCCCGGTTCTATACCTCCCAAAATCGGATAGATGGCGCTCTTGCTCCACGTTCATTTTCTTCTTTCCCGACAACTTGACCCCTGTGACGTCACCTGCGTCTGAATCACCAAGGCCATTTTCAATCCTCATTGGCCTGGGAGTCACGTGGTGGGGCCAATGCGTGGATAATTATGGTGCTGATATTTTTCCCTAAAAAAAAGATGTCAGCCTCTGGCTGTAGTATTCCTCTTTAAAAACCCTCTCTGAAAATGTCATGTCCCAGCAATGTGACTCCTAACTCGTTTTTGATGGACTCGTTGGCCGGTAGCTGCAGAGGAGAGAATTATTCCTCCAACCAAGGGATGTATATGCAGTCTGGGAACGATTTCAGCTGTGGGATGATGAGAAACTGTGGCATTGTCCCGTCTCTTTCCAAAAGGGACGAGGTGAATAACCCCAGCTTGTCTCTCAACTCTTACCCATCTTACCTCTCTCAACTGGACAATTGGTGTGACCCCAAAAATACTTACAGGATTGAGCAACCTGTTGCAAGGCAGCTCTCGTCCTGCTCCTTCCCTACCAATGTCAAGGAGGAAAATGTTTGCTGTATGTACAGTGCTGACAAAAGGGCAAAAAATGCCACAGAGACTGCTCTCTACCCCAACCAGATACCCGACTCTCGAGCCAGTGACCATGAGGTTCCTGTGCCCAGCTACTACCGAGCCAGCCAAGGCTACTCCATGGAGAAGAACCACAATGCAGCCGACTTTGAGGCAACTTTTGACAACAGGACGAGTCTGAACCCAAGAAGTGAGATTCTGGAGCAGCAGCAGCAACAGCAGCCATCAGCTGGGGGCAAGGTTGGCTTCCCCGAGAACACAAAGACGGATAACCAGAGCTTGGCTACCAACCTCAGCACCAACCCCACCAATGCCACTGCTAATGAGATCAAAACAGAGAAGAGCCTCCCTGCTGCCAAGCTAGCAGCACCCGAGGCAGACAAGGAGCTGGCCAAGAACACTGACACCAGCACTGACAACTCTGACAACGAAGCCAAAGGTAAGGGACCTTCTGCCCTCCTGTCTGTGCTGCTGCCGCACCGGGGCATGCTGAACTTTCTTCTCATTTTGCCGCATGTTAACGCTGCAGTCAGCGACTGTTAATGAAACCAAAGTAGACAGGTGACGATCAGAAATGACTAACTTTTAAAAAGCATAACAGATCCAGAGAATCAGGTCTACCTGTCTATCTGTCTAACGATCTATCTATTTATCTATCTATCTATCTATCTATCTATCTATCTATCTATCTATCTATCTATCTATCTTATCTATCTTCATCTGTTTACTATCTTCCTACTTTCTTTTTTTTTTTTTTTCTTTCTTTCTTTCTTTCTTTCTTTTTCTTTCTTTCTTTCTTTCTTTCTTTCTTTCTTGCTTTCTTTCTTTTTATTTATTTTTTTTATTTTATCTGTACATGTCTGTTCTCTTTTTTTTACCTTCACCTGTTTACCTATCTTTTTCTTTCTCTATTTTTTTTTTTTTTTGTCTATCTATCTATCTATCTATCTATCTATCTATCTATCTATCTATCTATCTATCTATCTATCTATCTGTTCTCTGTACATGTATGTTCTCTATTTCCCTTTCAGATTTTTCTTTCTTTCTTTCTTTTTCTTTCTTTCTTCTCTTTCTTTCTTTCTTTCATCTTTTTCCACCTGAATTTTATTGGTAAAAGTAGTTAAAAGCTCGATGTTGAGCGTTGCAAAAAATACACAGAAATTTATAGATATGACTTTTTATTCACCATGAGTATAAAAACGTTGATGACAATTGTTTGCTACATTTGCTGTGTTCTTTCTTAATCATATTGAGAACAAAAAATATTGATGATGATCTTTTTTTTTTTTTTTTTTTGCTTTATTTGTGGTTAAAGTTGTCATGTGGTTATTGTGTTGTGGTTTGTTATACGCCTGTGCACGACCAATAAATATTTGTGTAAAAAAAGGTTACATACACATATTATTCTATATATGATATGCATGTGTGTGCATTTAAATGTTATATCTATGATTAAGAAATATAATTAATATGCATGTCTATGCCTTGAAATTTCATGTTTATATTAAAATGTTTAACAGATATTCATATGCTTTGGAATGTTAATGTTATATATATATATATATATATATATATATATATATATATATATATATATACAGAAGGTGCTTTAGAACCCAAGTATAAGCATGTATGGATTCAGAAATATATTCACACGTTCATAAGTGTGTACATGTATATATAAATATGTGTGTATGTATAAAAGCAAAAACTTTATATATCTATATGCAGTATATATGTATGTGTGTGTGTGTATATACACACACACACACACATATATATATATATATATATATATATATATATATATAAAACTATATATGTATGTATGTACGTGCATACATGCATATATTTTAGAAAAAATAGAACCGCACAGATTCTGGTGAAGTGGACTTAAGGGTCCAAAAAGCCGCCCAGTAAACTAGTACTATAACAGAAAAGGGGACTTGTCATATTGTTTTTGTATTTATCTTAAAAATAAATCTTCAGTTGCGGTTACTGCATGATCAAATATCTGTTTCTTCTAGGAGCAATAGAAGCCCTTTTTTCATAGAAGTATTTCACAGATTGCCGCTTTTATTGCTATATTGCTGCACTAAAGTAATTGGTATTGCAGCACATTGAAGGCAGCCATATCTGTTGTAAACACAGTAGTAAGACTACAAGCCATGTTTATGTCTGGGGGAGATCTAAAAGCTTTGAAACCTGTTTGTACAAAGGCGCAATTTAAAGGACTTTTTCCTTGTGTTTCTCACTTATGTAGAGGAAATTGAGTTTCTTTTTTTTTACTTTTATTTATCTGTTGTTTTGGTTAACTTGTTTTACATTTTTTAATCCTGTGTTTTGTGTTTCTGGACATTGAATTTATAAAACCAAAGTCAAGTTTACGAAAACAAATGAATCAAATACGAGGCAATATCCATGGATCTTTTTCCAGATGTGCCCTCGATCTCCACACATACACCTAAAACAGAGGTCTTTTTGTCAATCTGTAGACCTTTACAAACGTCTTTTAGCTGAGTTTGACTTTTTTTTGTCTGCTTTGGAGACTTTTGTATGTGTGTGAATATTGTTATGCTCCTGTGATGCTGATTTGTTCTTCTATTGGAGCATTTTATTTGCTGTTGGTGTCCATTTCCTGTTTCTGCATCTTGCTGTGCAATGTCTTCCTTTGTTTGTATACTTTGTGTTTCAACATTGTTTATAATGTTTACTTCCCAGAATTTAAGGAGGCGCATTTCTTGTCTCCAATTCCAAACTTTGCTGCATAAATGCCAATCATAAATGCATATAAAGGCAAACAACAAAAGATTGTAACACAGCGAATATAGCAAATGATAAGTGATAAGTGAACAGATATGTTCCAGTTGACATGATGTGTGAAAAAATACTTTTCTTATGATCTGTGTAATGATATGATATGCATAGACACCTTGAATAATGGCTTTCACATAGTGTAGCAGACTAGCGTTGATGTGCCACTATTGGCATAAGTGTGTCATGTGTGTGTCCTTAATGAACTCGCATGTAGCTCTTTATATTACACTATTACACAAACAGATACGTGCATTCACACAGTGTAAATATAAATAAATATATATAGTGTGTGTGTGTATTAAATTAATTAGGGAAATTATTAGTTTCTAAGATTGCTCACCAGATGTTTGCAATGCTTATGTTTTACTACAAGCTTGTTGTGTATTTTTGTGTATAGTTTTGTGATTTCCATTTAGCAAGCATGAACTGCATGGTATTACAGAACATACCTAGGTGGACACACACACACACACACACACACACACACACACACACACACACACACACACACACACACACACACATGAACTTTCTACATTCTTACAATTCATAATAGATATGTATAGATAGAAAGGTATGAATATATAGCTATACAGACTGAAGGCACCAATATGTGCGAGAAACTGTGTACTCATACACAAATATTAGAAATAGCCCCTTTAAACCTGCTGGCTGTATGCAGGTACCTGTTATAATGAATTTGTGGTAACATGTATTTTTCATACACTCTATGCTATTGTACATATAGATACACACGTTGAGCATAGTGTAGCAGACTACACAAAGTAACCACATTCATAGAGGACTCCTCATGCTTTTGGAAGAGTATTTCTGAATGTTAGAAATCTAATTGTGATTATACATTTTTTTAATAAATTTATACTTAGAAACACACACACACAGTTCCCTAATATCAAAACATGTATGAGTTTTTATATGTGTATAGCCACACACATACATTTAAATATGCACATGAGTGGCCAATACAGTGAGCTGTATAATATTTCACTGATGTGCATGAGTGTGCATTGAAATGTTTTATATATATATATATATATATATATATATATATATATATATATATATATATATATATATATATAAACATTGCAATGCACACTCATGCATATCAGTAAATATTATACAGTACACACCTCTCTCTCTCTCTCTCTCTCTCTCTCTCTCTCTCTCTATCTATCTATCTATCTATATATATATATATATATACTTTGTTTTACACCTTTTGTGTTTGAGCATCTCAGGCTTACAAACAATAGGCTTGATTCACAAAGCTTTAACACATGAATAGGTATCTTTGTGTTAGCCACATGATTGCAATTTTCAGATTTCATTGGACTTGGCTGAAAATAACTACAAAGACAGACTACTGGGCGCTGATGTCCTTACAAATGAATGAAGTAGCCAAAAACATATATAGGTTAGCATCCTCAGCTGCTCTAATAACCACCAGGAGCAATAGAATAGAGAAGTTCTCTCTTTTTAAAGTTTTGTCTGAAAATAAGTGCCACTTTTTTTTTTAGTAAATACTTATTTTTATGCTGGTGTGGTAGCTTTGTGAATTGAGTCTCTTAATAAACACATGGCCATACTTCAAACACTACCAACTTTTTATTTCACTAAACACTCCGCTTATTTCTGTTGTACAGAGAAGCAACCCAGGCAATACCAAAAAATCTATCTACCCCTTGATTGTTATGTCCTTTTACATTCACAGGTATGATTATCTATGCCTATCTATCTATCTATCTATCTATCTATCTATCTATCTATCTATCTATCTATCTATCTATCATCTGAAGACACACACACACACTTGGTATGTTTGTATTTTAAGTATGTTTATCCTTGCTATACTAGATCAGTAACATTGTTTAGGTGAAAGCCCTCTTTGTTCGTATGATTTTGCAGAAATATGGTCAGTAATATTTGTGATATTGAATCAGCAGAGCAGGATGGGCAGGCATTTGATGTAAGTGAGATGTCGGTTACCAGATTGGTCTCTGCCAAGTTCTAATGTCTGATCTCATTGCTGCAGTCTACTGCCTGGATTAGGGGCTATGCTAGAGGGGCTGGGGCATTGTGCACTGCTGTTCTGTACATCTTTGTATATTCCTTTGAATAGAGGACAGGAGTAGGCTCTAGCTGTGATGTCTATATTGTCATACCAACGTATAACCTATATATTTATCATAGGGCATCTTTAATCAGCTTTTTTAAGGGATACTTATATGTAAATATTATCTTTAACAGAGGATATAAAGGCAGAAAACGCTACAGGAAATTGGCTGACAGCTAAGAGCGGAAGAAAGAAAAGGTGTCCTTATACTAAGCATCAGACGTTGGAACTGGAGAAGGAATTCTTGTTTAATATGTACTTGACCCGTGAGCGCCGCCTAGAGATTAGTAAGAGTATCAACTTAACAGACAGACAAGTGAAAATTTGGTTTCAAAACCGCAGGATGAAACTGAAGAAAATGAACAGGGAAAACCGGATCCGAGAACTGACTTCAAATTTCAATTTTACCTGA